CTATGGGTATACCATATCTAAATGGCTAGTTTGGCCCGTGAAAATTAAGCGCGCTAGACGAAAAACTATAAAGGGTATTTTGACCAATTGCGCCATTCTAAGAGGACCGACCTGAAAATTTAACTTCGATTTTGCAGTCATCTTTATGAACATAATTCGACATGTTTCATTACACAAATTATTCTTTGACATTGTGTACCACACAAGTAAGCAACGATTTAAATCATACCTCAGAAATGGCCTTGGTTATAGATGGCAAAGTCCTGTAGAAATCCGGGTGAGAAGACGACTAGACTTGACTCTTGTGACGGGTCATAAAGTCATGAACGGGAGTTTCACAATCCGAAATCGCCGTAAATTTGACAGATAATATCGAGAAACGCTACTTCTTTTTTTGGCCATTTTCCCTATGTATCTTTTTCTAAAACAATGTAGGGGAAAAATTTCAAATGCAGCGGTTTAAGACTGTGACTGGTCAGCCAGCGTGTTAGATATGTTGTCGTGGTGAATTGCATGGCGTGACACCGTGACAAAGAGAACAATGGGGAATAATGACAATATGTTGTGTACACAAACGTTACATGTACACTTGCGTTTCGTTCCGAGCAAAAAGTGTAACGGTTCTATCAATCGTTGCAGTCGGGATTGGTTCCCCTTTTTTTAACGTAGAAAGAGAGAACTAATAACAAGAGATATCCAAGGAAGAAGTAGCGATGCCTTTTCTCCATTTATTCGCCAAAGGTGCTCAAGTTTTGAATGCAGGACTACCGTTCCACCTTGAAGGCCGACATTTTGCCAAAAGCGTCTGCTTGGGCGGCTGATTTCTAGAGGACTGTGCCATCTATAACCAAGGCTTATTCTGAGGTATTGTTAAAGTACTGCTTAAGTGTACAATACACGATGCCTACGAATAATTTGTGTTATGAAACATGTCGAATTATGTTTATAAAGATGACTGCAAAATCGAAGTGCTCGCTCGTCCAAAAATAGCGCAATTGGTCAAAATACCTTTATTGTTTTTCGTCTAGCGCGCTTAATTTTCACGGGCCAAACTAGCCATCTAGATATGGTATACCCATAGAGCTCTTGTTTTAGAACCTTTTATTTGTTGAGAGATTCGCATACTAGAAGAGTTATGACCCTCTAAAATCAGTTGAGATTTTTCTTGTAAATTAAATTGCGAT